GACGTTTCGCCATCCAGTGGCTTTATCAATACAAATTCCAGACTAGAGTGGTCTCCACCAACACCAACACTGAGGGACTGATTACCTCATCTTTTGTATATAGTTCTTCTGTCTTTTCCAATTATGTTACTAAATTTGTATTGATAAAGCCACTGGATGGCGAAACGTCTACAAGTAAAGATACCCAGATGTTGCACAGGTGTCTAATTCTTCACCTCGTTCTATACTTATATAAGATAAGATAAGATTTCGTTCGGATTTTTAACCCCGGAGGGTTAGCCACCCAGGATAACCCAAGAAAGTCAGTGCGTCATCGAGGACTGTCTAACTTATTTCCACTGGGGTCCTTAATCTTGTCCCCCAGGATGCGACCCACACCAGTCGACTAACACCCAGGTACCTATTGCTGCTAGGTGAACAGGACAACAGGTGTAAGGAAACGTGTCGAAATGTTTCCACCCGCCGGGAATCGAACCCGGGCCCTCCGTGTGTGAAGCGGGAGCTCTAGCCACCGGGCCACCGGGCCACCATATATAAACCCTGTGTGTCCGCGTATAAATGCCACATTAGTTGCACTCGTGTCCTTTTACCTAACATAATAATATACAAATGAACATAAATATAAGCAACTCACATATTGAAACATGGAGGAACACTGCAGCAGGCCTACTGGCCCATGCAAGATACCTTCTTCTCAAAACCACAAGAAAATTTCTAAATATATATATATATACATACACACAAAATAACTCTGTGTTGTTCTGTTGTGTGGAAAACAAACTCTAAATTTAACAGGAAAGGCAATGTTATATTATCTTAGTGGCGGCAGACTGACGCTCACTATACATAACAAAGCTGACTCGTTGTCAGTCGTTCATTGTTTACATCAGGATTTGGTTTAGAAAGACACGTAAGCAAACACTATAACATATTTATTAGAAAACGTTTCGGTCCTGGGACCTTGATCAAGGTCCCAGGACCGAAACGTTTTCTAATAAATATGTTATAGTGTTTGCTTACGTGTCTTTCTAAACCAACTTGTCGGTATTTATTACCAAGGTTTATAATATCAGGATTTACTCTCGTTTGCCAAACATTTGGTGTTAGTAAGTAAGTTTATTCAAGTATACACAAATATTTAGTGTTAGTAAGTAAGTAAGTAAGTTTATTCAGGTATACATAAATACAGTTACATAGAATTATCATACATAGCAACATATGTGTAGAGAACCTAGTATTCAGTAGGCTGTCAGTACAAAAAGGTATTGAGAGTTCTTATAATAGGTACTGAGAGCTGTGACAATAGGTACAAAGAGCCTTAATAGGTACAGAGAGTCCTGACACTACGTAGGTGTAGGGGTGATGACCCACGCTACCCTGGTCAGACTACGACAATGTGACTGCAAGTTTATAATTTATTAAAGTCACCCCTGGGTTTTTTAATATGGGCACAGCTGGTCCTTGATGGGTACAGCTGGTCCTTGACATACAGCTGGTTTCCTGGAAGATGAGTTCACGTGACCCCAAGATATATAGAAGGAGACTCGGGGTATTCCCAGAATAATAAGGGTGCCATAAGAGTGCCATAGGAGGGGAATTAGTGAACAAGATCCTATGATTGCAAAGGATACTTGTGTACAGTTCACCATACTCATTTTCCTTAAATAAACGCTCTGACCTGTATAACAGGAGTCTTCTTCTGTAGTTTATCACTACCTGGAGTATACCTGGAGGGTGTGTATGCCCAAGTATAGGCCTGCCAAGCCTCCGAAATCTTATCATTGATCCTCGCTGAACAGCCTCATTTTCAATCGTAGCAGATGTTCTGGGGGTCAACGCCCCCGGGGCCCGATCCATGACCACTATAATATTGACAACCAATCCCTTATATTGTAGAAATATGCAGTTTATTGTAAACATAACTAAATATAATAAAGAGATGGAAGAATTAGGCATTTTTGTAGCATGTTGATTGTAGGAACGTGTCAGCAACATGTTGCTTCCTCAGTCCGGTACAGTGATGAATGTTGATGGTAACACACATGGGTATCTTTATTACTGAAACCGTTCATCCATACAGTAGTTAGTTTAACATCTTTTTATGCATCACGTACCCGTGGTGTGGACGGTAGTCACAAGATTACAAAGGTACATAATGAGTCCACGGACTGGACCTCAACATTACAGAGGTACATAATGGGTCCAGGGACTGGACCTCAACATTACAGAGGTACATAATGGGTCCAGGGACTGGACCTCAACATTACAGAGGTACATAATGGGTCCAGGGACTGGACCTCAACATTACAGAGGTACATAATGGGTCCAGGGACTGGACCTCAACATTACAGAGGTACATAATGGGTCCAGGGACTGGACCTCAACATTACAGAGGTACATAATGGCCAGGACTGACCTCAAATTACAGAGGTACTAATGGGTCCAGGGACTGTACCTCAACATTACAGAGGTACATAATGGGTCCAGGGACTGTACCTCAACATTACAGAGGTAAGTGTTCATAGCTGAACAAGTTACAGTGGTAATGAACTGTTTACATGTTTATATCTGGTTACACACACACACATACACACACTCACACACACACACACACACACACACACACACACACACACACACACACACACACACACACACACACACACACACACACACACACACACACACACACACGGGGTCAGGAGCTGAGTCTCGACTCCTGCAACCACAAATAGGTGAGTGGTAATGCTTTATTCACAGTGGGCAAAGTCAAGATATTTTTCCAGAATGGTTTGTAATATACCACTGTGGATAAAATACTCTGTCATGAACATTTCTGAGTTGTCCCTCAATACACAATAGACTTCTTCAGTCACTTACAGAGGCAGCAGGTGGTGAGTCCCTCAGCCTGGCGAAGAACTGAGGTCCTGGTTCCTGTGTATGTGACTGAACAAGTCTACTGTGTAGGTCGAAACATTTCATCAATAAAACACCCAAGTGTTGTATACGTCTCTTAATATTTAACCTGTCAGTATTTTATATCATTTGTCAATATAATAACCATCTGTTGGTATATTAATATTATATTATTTATCTGTTGGTATGAACATTAAAATGATATAAAATACCGACAGGTTGTTAGGTAAGACACATATGCAACAGTTAGGTATCTTTATTTCGAAACGTTTCGCCTACACAGTAGGCTTCTTCAGTCGAGTACAGAAGAGTTGATAGAAGCAGAAGAGACTTGAAGGCGATATAATCAGTCCATCACCCTTGAAGTTTTGAGGTGGTCAGTCCCTCAGTCTGGAGAAGAGTATTGTTCCATAGTCTGAAACAATATGGAGCTGAAGTGACAGGATGGAGCCTTATATACCACCAGGAGGTGAGATGTAGGCCACAGGTAGAGGTAAGAATGTAGTCGTTGGGAGGTCACGTCCCTCTCAAATCCAGCCAACTTTTCTGTACTCGACTGAAGAAGCCTACTGTGTAGGCGAAACGTTTCGAAATAAAGATACCTAACTGTTGCATATGTGTCTTACCTAACAATCTGTCGGGATTTTATGCCATTTTAAATATTCACCCTTTAAATAATGAGAATATCGAATATAATTGTGGTTTCTCAAATAGAAGGTTAAAAAAAAATTGTCAAGGAAGACCTGGCAAACTAGTTTGAAGAAAGTAGAACAGTACAAGTAGGAACTAGCAGATCATCTCAGTTATAATGATATGAGTCAAGTAAGCATATTTATGGAGACAGTAACAAGGTCAGTATATTGCAAGACGTTGTTGCCGCTACACTAACTTTATACTGTTACATAAATTATTATACATAGCAACATATGCAGAACAACCACTGGAAAAAAATAGTGAAATTCCAAGCGCTTTCGTCACTTCTGACTACATCGTTAATGATCTCTGAAATCCTGAGACGATATCCACATTTTACGTCGAGTAGACGAAGACTTTCTTCAAGAAACTTTAAGATTATAAGGACATATATTTTATTGGTAATAAGATATTTAAATGTTTTTGAGACTGTGGCTCCATACTGTATTGTGTTTGTTAGCTATCTGGAGTACCTGGAGTATACCTGGAGAGGGGTTTCAGGGGTCAACGTCCCCGCGGCCCGGTCTATGACCAGGCCTCGCGGTGGATCAGGGTCTGATCAACCAGGCTGGTACTGTTGACCGGTATATTAAAAAAATATAAAATATAAAATGACTCTAATATTTTTGTGTGGGACGCACTAGTGGTCAGTGAGGGTCTGAGGAAGACCCTCACTGACCTGTGTAATACTGAGTCTGCACTACCAAAGACAGCATGAACTGCAGGTGCAGTATAACCCAGCCACTCAGACCACACAACCATCAAGCTTATGTGTTCCATCGTGCCAGGGAATCCAACCCGGGTACTTGGGATTATGAGAGATGAATTCTTTGCCAGTTGAGCTAGGCGGCACCACCCCTGGGTCCTGCCCTGCTAGGCGGCACCACCCCTGGGTCCTGCCCTGCTAGGCGGCACCACCCCTGGGTCCTGCCTGCTAGGCGGCACCACCCCTGGGTCCTGCCCTGCTGAGTGAACAACAACTGGGAGAGAACACCACCCCTGGGTCCTGCTTGTTGAGGAACAACAACTGGGCATGAGACCACCACCCTGGGTCCTGCCCTGTGAGTGAACAACAACTGGGAGAGAACACCACCCCTGGGTCCTGCCCTGTTGAGTGAACAACAACTGGGAGAGAACACCACCCCTGCGTCTTGCCCTGCTGACTGAACAACAACTGGGAGAGAACACCACCCCTGGGTCCTGCCCTGTTGAGTGAACAACAACTGGGAGAGAACACCACCCCTGGGTCTTGCCCTGCTGAGTGAACAACAACTGGGAGAGAACACCACCCCTGGGTCCTGCCCTGCTGACTGAACAACAACTGGGAGAGAGTGACTGAGTAAGGTTGGATTCAGTGTGTGTAGTAACGTTGTGTAGGAGAGTGGGTGTACCTCTCGCTTCTAACCTCCCTCCCACCCTCCACCACTCCCTCCCACCCTCCACCACTCCCTCCCACAATCCATCACTCCCTCCAACACGCCGGACGATTCACCTGATCCTCCTCCTCCTCGCAGTGAAGCTAAATTAACGACGATCTGCCAGCAACAGATCCAGTTATTGCAGAAAGACTGGGTGTGTCCACGACAACTCGCAGAGACAATCTGTACACAAGGTACTGTACACAACTTGTATTCTGTGTATGCTCACAGCCGGACTAAGATCTTGCAGGCCCCTGGGCTACATGTACTGTCAGTCCCCTGGCTACTGGTACTGTCAGACCTGGGTTGGAGGCCCCTGGGTTAGAGGCCCCTGGGCTGCAGCCCCTGGGTTGGAGGCCCCTGGGCTGCAGCCCCTGGGTTGGAGGCCCCTGGGCTGCAGCCCCTGGGTTGGAGGCCCCTGGGCTGCAGCCCCTCAAGCCCAGGCCTTGATCTGGTCCTTTGTATGCTACACTTACGTTATAATTTTGTGTATGTGATGATTATTATTGAATGTTTCGAGCCACATAAACATTTCTTATTAACCAAATATAAAGTTTTAGGAACAATTTTGAAGTCGACTTTATTATGGTTCTCGTGGCTCACTAGGTAGCGTCCTGAGGTCACACATTGAGGCACCGGGGTTAGATCCTCAGGACAGACATCTGCCGTCCCTTTTCACCTAACAGTCAGTAGGTACTTGGTAGTTAGCCAACTGGTGTGGGTGGAATCCTGGGGGAGTGGATCACACGACCCCAATGGAAACAAGGAAGTTGATGACCTGGGTTTATTAAGTTATACTGGCTTACTAACCCTCCTGTACACAAATTATTAAGTTATACTGGCTTACTAACCCTCGTCTTGTACACACATTATTAAGTTATACTGGCTTACTAACCCTCTTGTACACACATTATCTTAAGTTTCCTTGTCGATGATCGTAAGAAATAATGGATTCAAACTGGATAAGTTGAGATTTAGAAAGCATATAGGAAAGAGAGTAGATGATGAGTGGAACAATCTACCTAGTAGTGGAACAGTCTACCTAGTAGTGGAACAATCTACCTAGTAGTGGAACAGTCTACCTAGTAGTGGAACAGTACTATANATCTACCTAGTAGTGGAACAGTCTACCTAGCAGTTGATGAGTGGAACAGTTACCTAGCTGGGTCATTGAAGCTAAAACCTTGGGTAGCGTCAAATTTAGGTCAGATATATGAATGAGACGGGTTGGACTTGAGTGAGACTTGGACTTGAGTGAGACTTGACTTGAGTGAGACTTGGACTTGAATTAATAAATGTATCAGTACTTATCTAGGGCAGCACTGATAATGAGTTACCTGAAGAAGGTTTCGCTGGGTCGACCCCCCGCGGCTCGGTCCATGACCAGGCCTAAGAAAATATCTGCCCCGAGTGAGGATCGAACTCACGACCTTGAGATTATGAGACTCACGCGCTGCCTACTGCGCCATCGAGGCTGTGTGAATATGTTTATGGGCGAATATTTTTGTTAGTGGGTTTAGATTTGAGAAGAATTTACCAAGTATGAGCCAGTAGGCCTGCTGCAGTGTTCCTCATTTATTATGTCTTATGATACGGCCGCATTTAGTTATCCTACACTAATAACACTCAGAGATAAGGACACCATAAGAACACCATCAGTCTTGGAGAAAATGTATTTGAGGTGGTCAGTCCCTCAGCCTGGAGAACCTGGAACCTGTGAACCTGTACCTGAGTAGAGGTACAGGTAGGTTCACCAGGACGGGTCTTGGCCCGGGTCTTCTCTATATGGTGACCCGGCAGTACATGACTATATATAGACAGGTGGAGAATGATGGGAGACTGTATTTGAGACAAAGTAAGTTTATTCAGGTATACACAAATACAGTTACATAGATTATCATACATAGTAGCATATGTGTAGAGAACCTGGGATAACCTAAAAAAAGTCAGTAACTTATTTCCATTGGTGTCCTAGGGCTGCCCCTGTCATAGGGCAGCTCTTGTCCATAGGGCTGCCCTTGTCATAGGACTGCCCTTGTCATAGGGTTGCCCTTGTCATAGGGCAGCTCTTGTCATAGGGCAGCTCTTGTCATAGGGCTGCCCTTGTCATAGGGCTGTAAACTGTACTCCACTTGACATGAATTCTCAGTGTCTCTGCTATAGCAGGGACACTGAGTCGGACTTGGTGCAGGTTGTATACCGTCTACAGCCCTACAGCTATAGGGCTGTAGACGGTACACAACTTACACCAACTCCGACACTACTGCGGGAGTCACTGCCGGGTCACCACATGGAGAAGACCCGGGCCAGGACCCGTCCTGGCAAACCTATCTCAACATGGATATTTTACGCAGGTAGATGTGTTTGTGACTTAATAAAGTCCACTGTGCGGGCGACGCGTAGTCAATAAAGGATAACATTATACTGCATTTGCGTTTAATTTTTCCATTGTGTGTTGGTATGTTATATACCATTCATCTGGACACACACACACACACACACACACACACACACACACACACACACACAGGGTCTTGAGAGGATAACCTCGGACCATAAAAATGGTCAGTACAGCCATCATTAGGTCACTATATAAGTCACGGTGGTCATACCAGCTAGAAAAAGGCAGAAATCTTTCGATCTGCACCTCCTTTTATATATACATTACTTCTTGCGCTTAATAATCCACATGGAGACAGACTCACATTAACTGGTCCCGTAGATGGGATGGTAGCGCACTCAGCTCACACATTAAGGTACGTGGTTCGATCTCCGGTACGGGTGGAAACACTAGGATGTATTTCCTTAAAACACCTGCTGTCCATGTTCACCTAGCAGTAAGTAGGTACCTGGGTGTTAGTTGACTGGTGTGGGTGGCATCCTGGGGGACGAAATTAACCTAAGTTGTGGGAAATGCTCTACATAACCAGGAACTTTCTATATAGTATGTCATGGATGTCAGCTATGGTCTGTATAAGTTGTATCATGTACTGCTAGAAATAAATATTATTATTATTATTATTATTATTATTATTATTATTATTATTATTATTATTATTATTATTATTATTATTATTATTATTATTATCATTATCATTACTATCTATATATTTCGATCCCTTCTGGGAGACATACACATTTCAGTATTATATACACTGAGACATACACATCTCAGTACATATATATACACTGAGAGACATACACATCTCAGTAATATATACACTGAGAGACATACACATCTCAGTATATATACACTGAGAGACATAACATCTCCTGGTATATACTACGAAGGTTAAATTATAATATACACTGATAACAACACACGTCATATATAATACTATATAGTAACATACCCTCAATATCATATACACTAAAGTAATAATTTCTACAGTATATGAAGTTAGAGAATACACACTCATAAGTTACATTAGAACTAAGTTAGTTATATTCTGAGTAGACCACGACTCAACTATAACTTAACACCATAAACATGTAGTATATCATAACGTGAAACATGCTATGCAGGAAACACATCGGGCCCTAACATTTTCATGTTTTTCTTAAAACAAACATAATTTAATATATAAGTTTTTTTCGTCAACATTATAATTTATATATATATATATTATAATATATTAATATTCAATTATATACTTATAATTATAGATATATAATATATATATATATAAGTTATTATTATTATATTATTACTTTTACCACTTCACGACCCACCAATAGTCATTATTACCTAATAAACTCTAAGGGTTTAGAATGAGTGACCAATTATTTGTTATAGGAGAGACACATGAGGGGTGCTTAACTTTCTGTTTCTGTAGTAAGAGACATGAATTTTCTGCAGTGGAGTTTATCCTTTGTCAAGGACTCTGGGAGGTTGGTCTAGGAGAGGTGTATGAGCTGGCCTTCACTATCCTTTGGCAACTATGTATCTACTACTGATATCATCCAGTTTTACCTAGGTAGTATATCTTCTACTCTTTTATTATCATATATATATTATTATTATTATATTATATTATTCCACTTTCAGTCCACTATAGTTCAGTTATTAACCTTATAACTCATAAGGGTTTAGCGCAATGAGTGACCACTTTTCTTTTTTATAGTGAGAGACCAAGAGGGAGGTGCATACTGCTGCTGTAGTGAGAGAGACGATGATTTCCTGCAGGTGGGGAGGTTATCCTCTGAAGAGGACCTCCTGGGGAGGTTGGCCTCTGAGGAGGAGGCTGTACCTGAGCCTGGCCTCCACCACCCTCCTTCTGGCCAACCTCTGTATCTACCTCCTGCATCACACCTCCAGTTTTAGGCCTAAGGTAGGTAGGCCTCTCTCTCTCTCTCTCTCTGATTATCATCATAATAATAATAATAATAATAATAATAATAATAATAATAATAATAATAATAATAATAATAATAATAATAATAATAAATATTATTATTATTATTATATTCACGGGGAAACGCTAAACCAGTAAGGGTCATGCAGCTCCTGGGGAATGGGAAGTAATCAGGCTTTATCCGAGGAAAGGGAGAGTTGCTCTAATTCTTCGGATGAAGAGCCCATCATCGGCACTAGAACCGTACGGGTTTAGCGATGCTCATAACAATGTGGGGGATTCACAATGGTATCCCTTGCAGTTGCAGGTCTGTATCCCTTGTATCAGGTTTGTATCCCTTGTATCAGGTATGTATCCCTTGTAGCAAGTCTGTATCCCTTTCAGGTGTCTGGGTCGTCTTGGAATACCTCGGTGACCGGTGAGAGGTCGTGGAGGTCGTCGTGGAGGTCGTCAGAGGTCGTGGTCACACCTAACACGACCCTCTCAGACAGCCTTCTGAAGACTCAGGTACTATCAGGTCATCTTCATTCTTCTTCCTTCCTTCCTTCCTCCTCCTCTTCCTCTTCCTCCTCCTCCTCCTCCTCCTCCTCCTCCTCCTCTCCTCCTCCTCTCTAAATAGTAGAAGTCAGACCCAAGCATCGCTGTAAGGTGGTGTGTTCTGTGTGTGGGTTGTGTACAGTTATATTTTTGTTTGTGTCATAGATAAAGTCACGAAACTTTCCACCTTCAGATATTCTAAAGCAGAAGAAGCTACGTGGGGATGGAAATCTTTAGTTGTAGATCTTTCGAGCTCTCTTGCGTCGTCAGGAGCTATGCAATGTTGCAAAACAGCAACAGGTAAGAGGGGAAATTCTCTGAGGCAAAGCAAATCAGTGGCAGATCATATCAAAGAGTGACATGGGCTGCCTTGCCTAAAAGAATGTCACCTACTGTCTGTTGCTGCCTTGCAACATTGCATAGCTCCTGATGACGTACGAGTGTGTGGAAGATCTAGATGTGAAGATTTTCATCCCCGTGTAGCCTTTTCTGCGATTGTATTGCATATTCTAAAGCACCTATTGATTCTGCAATGTTGTCTACGAATGGGTATATGTGGGTAGATATTCTAATTTCTCTTCCACACCTGAATCATCTCTCTCCTCTGTCTACAAATAGGTATATTACGATGTCTTAATTCCTTTAATACCTCTTCCTTTATGTCCTCTGTCTACTGTATATTATTTATCTTGTTCCCGCTCTGGAATTATGAAAATTATCTTCATACAGAACTCTGTTTCTCCTGTGTATGGAAGACGTTATCCTGATAGTAACTGCAGCTCTGCTGGAAGTTTGACAGCTGAAGTCTGCCAGCTCAGACTGACACAGCTACTGAAGTCTGCCAGCTCAGACTGACACAGCTACTGAAGTCTTCTATCTCAGGCTGACACTACTGAAGTCTACCAGCTCAGGCTGACACATTATAACACCTAGTATGAACACTATCCTGAGTAATGGAATATAACAGGGAAATATACCTAGCTTTTGTTCTCACTGAGTAAATGTTATATAGAACAGTGTAGTAGCACAGTCGCCACACACTGCCCTCCGCCACACACTGCCCTTCACCACACTGCCCTCCGCCACACACTGCCCTCCACCACACACTGCCCTCCACCACACACTGCCCTCCACCACACACTGCCCTCCACCACACTCTGCCCTCCACCACACACTGCCCTCCACCACACACTGCCCTTCACCACACTGCCCTCCGCCACACACTGCCCTCCGCCACACACTGCCCTTCACCACACTCTGCTCTCCACCACACACTGCCCTCCACCACACACTGCCCTCCACCACACTCTGCCCTCCACCACACACTGCCCTCCGCCACACACTGCCCTCCGCCACACTGCCCTCCACCACACTCTGCCCTCCACACACTGCCCTCCACCACACACTGCCCTCCACCAAACATTGCCCTCCACCAAACACTGCCCTCCACCAAACACTGCCCTCCACCAAACACTGCCCTCCACCAAACACTGCCCTCCACCACACTCTGCCCTCCACACACTGCCCTCCACCACACACTGCCCTCCACCAAACACTGCCCTCAGCCACACACTGCCCTTCACCACACTCTGCTCTCCACCACACACTGCCTCCACCAAACACTGCCCTCAGCCACACACTGCCCTTCACCACACTCTGCTCTCCACCACACACTGCCCTCCACCACACACTGCCCTCCACCACACACTGCCCTCCACCACACACTGCCCTCCACCACACACTGCCCTCAGCCACACACTGCCCTTCACCACACTCTGCTCTCCACCACACACTGCCCTCCACCACACACTGCCCTCACCACACACTGCCCTCCACCACACACTGCCCTCCACCACACACTGCCCTCCACCACACACTGCCCTCCACCACACACTGCCCTCCCCACACACTGCCCTCAGCCACACACTGCCCTTCACCACACTCTGCTCTCCACCACACACTGCCCTCCACCACACACTGCCTTCACCACACTCTGCTCTCCACCACACACTGCCCTCCACCACACACTGCCCTCCACCACACACTGCCCTCCACCACACACTGCCCTCAGCCACACACTGCCCTTCACCACACACTGCCCTCCACCAAACACTGCCCTCAGCCACACACTGCCCTCCACCAAACACTGCCCTCCACCACACTCTGTCCTCCACACACTGCCCTCCACCACACACTGCCCTCCACCAAACACTGCCCTCAGCCACACACTGCCCTTCACCACACTCTGCTCTCCACCACACACTGCCCTTCACCACACACTGCCCTCCACCACACACTGCCCTCCACCACAATCAGCAGTACATGCTAGTATTGTCTGTCTCGCGGCTGACTGACGGTACATACATTTTTACCTTGACCTACTCACCTTATATAATTCCATTTCTCCTTTACATAATATTCACTTTATCAAGAACTCTTCGCTAGTATCAAGGTAGCGTAGTTCTCCAGCCTGTTCCACCTCCTATACTTCTCACTCTATGTTATGCTCCCTTGTCGTGCTATGGTACCTATGGGGCTCCCATTTTTCATGTTTCTATATCGTTCCCATTGCTTTCCCATC